CTCCCGCGTAGAATTGGAGATGTCTTGGCGATGTTTTGACGAGGTCTCATTCGTCATCTTCAGGCTTCTGGGGTTTTCGCGGGTGTTAGTGTGTGGATCTTTGGTTGTTCAGGTTTTCTCCTGCGTAGAATTGGAGATGTCTTGGCGACGTTTTGACAAGGTCTCATTCATCATCTTCAGGCTTCATGCTTCCTCCTGGAAGCCTGAAGATGACGAATGAGACTTCGTCGAAACGTCGCCAAGACATCTCCAATTCTACGCGGGAGAAAACCCGAACAACTAGAGACCTACATATATATATATGCCTTTTGTCTTAATTCCTGGAGACTGCATTTTTTAAATTTTCATTATATACCACTTCCACTTCTATTACAAACAACTCAATACTATTACTTCCTCCTCCTATATTCCCATAATAATAACCTTGTGAGATAAGTTGGTCTGAGAGAAAGTGACTGGCCAAAAATCACCCAGCAGATTTTCATGCCTAATGAAGTTCATTCAGGGTGTGGGGTTTGTTTGTTTTTTGACATTTCTATGCCTTTTTCCTAGGGTTGACAATAAATGCCTAGACCAAAGTCACACAACTAACTGAACTTAATTGAAGTTCATGAACTGAAGAAGTTCTTGGATAAGAAGTGAAATGTTTTCAAAGGAAAAAAAACCTCAATAAAGTACAGTTGCCTTTTGGAAAAGCATTTTTGGAACCATGACCTGGATGAATGAGACTCTCTACAGACACTTTGAAGGGATGATATGCATTTTGAAGACATTGTGTCTAACCCACATATGAAAGCCTATCAAATTGATAACAGTGTTACCAGTACTAATTCCTCCTGAATTTGAATTATTATATAAATAATAATTTACCTTAATTTAACAAACATATAATATAATGTAATGAAGTAAGACAATACAAGGCAATACTATATGTAAAAACTGTCCTAATATTTGAGTTTCTAAAGGCTGTTAGGCGCTGTGCTTTTGATTTCATACAAAAATATGAACATAAGCATCATAGATAATTGCTTATAAAACCTATCTTCCATATAGAAAATTTATTTTTCACAGTTTACATTACAATTTCCAATTAATTTGATACACAATGTCCAATATATGGAACTGCCAACAATATTATTTAATATATATTTCAACACTTAAAAATAATACAACATTATTTATTAAACATTAATAGAGAAAATAATTTCAATAATTATTTTCAATTGTTTATACAAAATGTGCAGAAAGTTTTAACAAGTCATGTAGCACATTAGCCTGCAGATGGCATTACATTTCTATAGTTCTGTAGAAAATCATCATGCATTACAGAAATACAAAATTGAAATAGGGTCAGAGTTAAAGATGGACATAGTTTACCCTCGAAGGATGGCTTCACTTACATTCTGGATATTGATCTGCAGATCCATTTTGTAATGGTTAAAATCTTTGGCAAGTTCATAACCTTGATGGTAGAATGTGAACATGCCCTGAAAAAACGACAAGACCTAAAACACAATTAAGATTTTTCTTTTTAGCTTAAATGGCAGAGGAGTGATTTCTTTTCACTTTCTTTTACTTTCCTCTTAGTTTTAAATAAATTAAGTCCTGCCTTCAATAGGACTTTACAGCATATCAAAGAATTCCACTGTTTAGTCACTAAAAATAACAAGCTGAACATTCATAATTCACAGAATACTGTAATTAAATGTTCTTCACTAAAATAGCAAAGTACAGCACAATGCAAATGTTTAGTTATTTCTAAATCTACTTTTACTTGTTTTCTATTCTAAAATTTATTTTCTTTCAGAAATGTTTTTAATATTCTACTTACAGGTTCTACAAACTCAAATTTCTTTCTTTCTTGTATCTCTTGAAGTTTACACACATATACAAGTAACAGTTCATAGAAATGTTTTCTGTTTTGCTCTATTTGGTAGTCTGCCTGCATTAAAAAAACATAGTTTTGTTTTTTTAAGATTCAGATTTTCTATACAGAAATTTATGTTGAGGATCACAATGTAACACAGAATCATTTGCATTAATTTAAAAGTAATTATACACACCAAATTTTATGGCCAAAGGTTTTCAGGTGGCAATAGTTAAAATTCTCTAAAATGTTTTACAGCAAATGAGGGGAAACTGACAAATTAATAGACACTTATCATAGTTTAGGCTTAAACTATTTTTTGTTTTCCTCAATGAATTAAAACAAATAATGGTAAAGCATTGAAACAGTGTATTAAAAGAGGTATAATTTCCACCGAAAACTGACTATCAGACCTCATATTTCATTTTATTAAAATGCATAACCTGCATTCACATAATAAATTTCAATGACTAACATATAAAAGACAGCAATCTAATATACTTGCATTTTGAACCCTGGAAAACACACATATAATATGAATACTGGTACAGTGTTTCCCTGTCTTATTTTCGGGAAAACATGGTACCACTACTTATATTGTATGTGTATTTTCCAGGATTCAAAATACAAGTAAAATAAGACAGGGTCTTATTTTCTTTTGACCCCCATCTCCCCAAATAAGCCCTTGGCCTTATTATCGGGGAGGTCTTATTATTTTTGAGATGCAGGTGGTGGCGAGCCTGCTCACCTCATGGCAGCTATTGTGTATATATTTTTTGGGGGGGGAGGGCTTAGTTTCGGGGAAGGGCTTATTTTCGTGCATGCGCTGGAAAGCCCGATTGGGTTTATTATCCGGGGAGGTCTTATTTTGGGGAAAACAGGGTAGGTGTCAGGTGCAAGGAACCAGTAACCGAAGTAGAGTTCAAAGCACTGCAATTTTATTTCATGCTACCTATACGCAAGAATCTGATCTAGTAACAGTGAAGCCAAATTAGCACTAGATAAAGAGTTAATGGAATTCATGAGGGGGGCTGCTTAGGTCTCTTCTGGGAATGTAATAACTCCAAACTGATAATGCATTTGACTCTGCTATGGGCTCTGCCTGGTCATCTTCTACATTAGGGACTATACGGCAAATTAATTGTGCTTATTAAACAAATAATATTTATTATCAATAGAAAGACTCAGGTTTCAGCTATTTATTCCCTGCTTCCAACTCAGAATGGAAAAACTGCTGCTAGCAACTTATTTCAAAAGTATTATTATTGCAAATGCTTACAACAGATAGAGGTTTGACACTATAGTGTAAGTGATACCTCCAATATTTGTACTTCTTTCTTCTTAGCTGACATGTTTAAATGTTTCTCCAGTGAACTATAGTTCTTTTCCGTTTCTTTATCAAACCTCTTTTTTTCTTCCTAAAATATTTTAAATGTAAAGATAAAGAAATATTATATTATTTACACATGAAACATAAACTTTGTAAATTGGTTGGTTTTTGTCATTTTTAACATGAAATTTTGATTTACAAGAATACTGCAGTTTATAACAAAGCTACAATATCTAAGTTTGGTATAAGTTGTTTTTGTTCAATAAAATATAAAACATAAATGAGAGGCTATCAATTTTTTTGAAATCACTTCGTAGGCCTTAGTTCAGTGTTTTTCAACCACTGTGCCGCGGCATACTAGTGTGCCGCGGCACAATGTGAGGTGTGCCGTGGGAAAAACACTTGCCCCCCCTCCCCCCCAAAATAGTTTTTAAAATGCCTCTGTTGTCTTGGGAGCCTTCGGGGCGAATTCGCTTAATCTCCCGCCGCCGNAGGAGCTTCGTTGAGCTCCCGACGGCGGCAGGCTCCTCCCCCCGAAGCCTGAATGCAATTAATTATTAAAGCGATTAAGGTGCAGGATTTTGGGTTTTGTTTGATGGGTTTACTGATTTATGTCTATGTTTTATAGTTACTGCCCAGAGCTGTTCAAGATGGACAGCCATACAAATCTTTTCACATTAAATAAATGAATAAATAAAAATATAATTAAATGATCCAGATTAATAGAAGGTGAACAAAAGCAAGGGAATAATGAGAACCATGAGAAATGAGGCAAGAGTGACTGGAGACAATAAGAAAGCTCTCTGCTTCACTAATTACCGCAGGGTATGCAGGAGATGAACTTTTGATGAATAATATCAATATCAGTTACTACACAGCTCTGTTCATTCACCCAGAGACAACACAAAGTGTTCACAAGTTTGCATATACCTCCCTGAGAGGCCAGCAAATGATTCAAGACAAGACAGTTATCTAAACTGATGTGCCCTGTATCTTCTACTTCAAGCTGCAAGACCTATATGGAATAAGCAGGTACATTGACTCCCTCTTCTGATTCTGCTGAAACATTTACTCTACCACTTTCTAATAACTGAACAAAATGCACTGGGACTAGAATAAAGCAGAAATCATAAACCACCAAAAGGGGCACCACATATCTGAAATGGCTTTTGGGGCATGGAATCCTAATATCAAAACATATGGAAATATTAGAAAAAATGTATCCAAGGAAGCTACTACCAGCAATATTACTTGACCAAACCTTAAAAGCTCTCTTGCCACATGTTTCATCACGTCCCTTAGTAATTAGAGAGGGATAAAATGGGAGGGAGATGATTGTCCTAGGATGCCTGCAGTAGCAGTGCAACTCAAGAAAGATCAGAAGTCCCAATAAATCCCATATCCACTAGTTTGTGAAAATGCTGTCTCTAAAAGAAGCTGGCTTGTGTTATTCTCTGTATGTATTCATGTTGCTTTTATGAGAGAAAAACATGGATTTCTATGATTCACCACTACCCCAATACAGGGGTGGTATTCAGCTTGTTTGGGCCAGTTATGGTGAACTGGTAGCAGAAATTTTGAGCAGAGAACCAGCAAAAACCACCACTAGTTGGCCCTGTCTTCCCACCCCTGCCATTCCCTGTCTTGTATTCCTTTGTTTTTTAGCTCAGCTGATTCACGTGGGAGAGAGGATTGTTGCATCTCAGCTGAGCTAAACAACAGCTCAGCTCACCAGCGCTGACACCAATGGCGGTTTTGAGTCCTGCATGCACATGAAGTGTGTGTTAGGCACACATGTGCACAAAGCACGCATGCATTCACAAAGCGCACTCTCATAGAACTGGTAGGATTTGGAATCCCACCGCTGCCCCAATACGATAGAGGAAGTAGTGTCTATAACAGATAAGTCTGTACCACTTCAGTGGGAAGGTAATAGCATTCCAGGCACCACAGTGAATTGTCATGCTGGCCACATGAACACGGAAATGTCTTCGGACAATGCTGGTTCCCTCAGCTAAGAAATGGAGATGAGCAGATTACCTTTACCTGATTCAGAAGTATAAAGTATAAAGAAAGTATATATATTTTTCTTTTAAAAAAATTAAATAGATTTTAGAAAGGCAAAAATACAAAAAAAAATACACCCCCAACTACAGAGTATTATAGAAATACTTCTTCAGTGATGCTTTTCTTCTTCCTTTCCATTTATTTCCCAATCTCTAGCCCAGACACTCATACTTTATATTGAACACTGAGAGTAATTGCTAACATTGAGCTGTGGTGACACAGTGGTTAGAATGCAGTATTGCAGGCTAACTTTACCCACTACAAGGAGCTTGCTCCTGACTGGCTCAAGGTTAACTCAGCCTTCCATCCTTCTGAGGTTGGAAAAATGTGAACCCAGATTGTTGGGGGCAATGTACTTACTCTGTAAAACCATTTAGAGAAAGCTGTAAAGCATTATGGAGCAATATATATAAAGTAATTCAGTGCTATTGATAACATCTGTTTAAGTTATTCTATCTCATTGGTCTCATACCATGTTCCAAGCATCTAAATTTACCATGCAATATGATATGCAATATATATTGGAGTCCTTCCCCCTTAAATGTCCTGGTTAGACTTCTATTATGGATCTATATTCTTTGGGGGGAACTAGACTTATGACACGGTTGCTCAGTGGCTAAACTGCTGAGCTTGTCAATCAGGAAGGTCAGCAGTTTGCTGGTTTGAATCCCTAGTGCCTCCCCCCCTAATGGAGTGAGCTCCCATTACTTGTCTCAGCTTCTGCCAACCTAGCAGTTTGAAATCATGTAAATAAGAACCACCTTTGGTGGTAAGGTAACAGCACTCTGTGCATCTTTGGCATTTAGTCATGCCAGTCACATGACCAGTGGTGGCATTCAATTTTTTTTACTACTGGTTCTGTGGGGATGGCTTGGTAGGCGTGGTAGGGGAAGGATACTGAAAATCTCCATTTACTCCCCACTCCAGGGGAAGGTTACTGCAAAATCCTCATTTCCTCCCTATCAGCTGAGACTCAGGAGGCAGAGAATAGACGGGGGCAGAGCCAGTCAGAGGTGGTATTTACCGGTTCTCCAAACTCAAAATTTCTGCTACCAGTTCTCCAGAACTGGTCAGAGCCTGCTGAATACCACCTCTGCATATGACCACAGAGGAGTCTTTGGACAGCACTGGCTCTTCAGCTTTGAAATGGAGATGAGCGCTGCCCCCTAGAGTCAGGAACAACTAGCACATATGTGTGAGGGGAACCTTTACCTTTACCTTAGAGCTATGACAGCTTGCCAAGACAGCCTTTTCCATCCATTCCACCATAGAATGCACTGATTCACACAACTGGTAATTTACGCAGGTGCAGAATGTGAGACACTTCTATTCTTTCCTTTCTGATTCCTTGAACACATCTCAGAGTGTCTTTGAAAAGGAAAGAAATCCATTCCGCTGATTAAAGTAAAGCATTAGAGACATCCCATTGTTTTTACTTAGTTCATCTTGTCTGCCAGTCTTTTCACTCCTCTGTAGGAAGTTTGCCAGGAGGAATGACACCTAAAAAGCTATATCAACTGCATTGAATTAAGAAGGAAAACTTTTATAAGATGTGGCGGGAGAGGGAAATTAAGAGAGTATTCATTAGGAAATGAAATTGCCAAACAGGCAAGCCCTAAAATATGTAACTCTCCTTTTTGCTGCAACACCTGAGCATTTATTTCTATCATAAATGCAATTTCACAGTAGAGGTGAGAAACTTCAGCAAAGTGCCAAAGTATCTCTGCTTATAAGAATTGAAAGGACACTTATTTCCTCTGTACAAATTTGCAAATGAACCATGGGATTAACCGAGGCTGTTTGGAAATTGTTCTGACAGCTTGGCATTTTTAAACCCATTTGTCTTTGCAGATATTGCAGACAGCACTATCAAGGCTAGCCTCTTTGCGAGACTGTGTCTTTTGCAACTGACCTTCCCAGTGGTTTATTCTTTTTATTGACACCCTGGGTGATGTAAGCACTCTGGGCAATTCATACTTTAAAGAATTAATCAAAGCTTAAAATGCTTATTATAAGTTTATTAAATTTATTTATTAAATTTATATGCCACCCATCTCACTTTTAAGTGACCCTGGGTGGCTTACAGCATTATTATTATTTTATCGCAACAACAGAATTGTATCACAGCGGCCAGTTGTTTCGCCGGATTTGGCATTGATTACTATTCGGGCCCCACCCAGGGGCCTAGCACATCGTAACGAATTGTAACGTATTTTATGCGTGCAGATCCAAACAGTGCGGCTTTTTGCATTTGACTGATGGGGATTTTGTCAATTATTAACTGTTTTAAATGTAATTCCAGAGCTTTTGGAATAGCANGCGATGCTCCAGATGCTCAGCAGAGCATCGTGCAGGTGCTGTAGGTGCAGTGCACATGCATGGAAGTGCAGAAGCCTTAAAAGACCAGTAAGGAGCTCAGGCGGGCAGGTGGGCCCTCTGGAGCACCGTACTGGAATGGTATCCAATGCTTATGGCTGGCTCCAATACGCCTGTACCGGAGCGTACCGCCTGCAACCCACCACTGAGATAGAAGTAAAACTATGGAAGGACAAATTCCATCTGAGTTCAGTAAATAAAAACAAGAAACTGCAAATCATAGCTTGTTACTAATTATGTGGTAATCATATGGGTCTGACTGTCTGGGATGGAAAGCAAGGGAAGGTCAATGACAAAACATACATCAAGGCAGAATATCTGCTGTTTTTGTACTTGGGTTGTGATGTCACCTGCAAGTCCATAAGGGGTGCACCAAAAGTTTGCACTATTACATTACAACATAATTTTGACAAATCACAGCTTGCTACAGTGACCCCTGATGGCAATTTTATAAGCTTCAAAATATAATTATAAGTAATGACCCATGCTACCCATGTGAGTCACTTGGTAATTCCTTCCACAGCCACCAAAAACATCAAATTAGAGAGGAAAAATAGCATGGGCTACCCTTTGTAAGCAAAGGCAAATATATGATTATTTTTGTTTCACGTTGAGTTTGATGGATCAGCCATGTATTCACCAACTGATTTTGAAGGGGTTTCCCATTCATTTAATATTTTGTGTTGTGTTATTTTGTGCCACCAATTATTTTGGGAGCCAATCATAGTAGAAGAGCACTCCACCATGAAAAAAAGGTGCCAAAATTTGGACAGTTCCACAGGTTTAATCCCATATATATTGACTTCATTGTCTCTGAAGAAGGCCCACGCATGTTCTAATTTTCCAAATGAAGACTAATGACGGCTGCATAATTCTGCTTTGCATATTCATCACAAGATGGATAGTATTTCTGCTAAAGAAAAACCCAGCCTACCAAATTAATATAATATGGACCGTAACAAATACACCATTTTTAAGGATTTTGTACGGCAAGTCCTAATTTATATCTGTTATGCTTCACGGCCAATACAATTCTTTATATTCCCATTGCAGTGAAAAGATAAGATTCTTTAACCATAACTTCTCCCCAGATTCCCTTATATCAGCATCCAGCAGAAGAGACATATATCCACTGAAGAAAAGCTGTATTCTGTGGAAAGGTTGAGAGTCGTCTCAGGAGGTGTTTACAAATGCAGCCAGCAGAAGAAAATTTTAATGAATTATGCCTCATAATCTCATGGTTAATGAACTGTAAAACTGAAGCAGCAAGGAACGAACTTTTGGGATTTCTTGATGAATAATGGCTCACTTGTCTGCAACATTTAAAAACAAAACAAAACAAACCAGGAATTGCAGGGGGGGGAATTAAATGCCACTTTAAAAGCTTCCTTGTGATTAAGGAAGGCAGTTATCTGTTCTGAAGGTCTAAAATATTCATTGCCTTTTTTTATTGGGCAATTGAGTAATGTGGTAGAAAACCCATCCAAGAATTGGCAGCAACTGGAGAGGATCCAACAATCACTTAAAATAGCAGATTAGAGAGCGTCACCAGTCTCTTGTGCTCAGAGGAGCCATGGCTATAGTTGTTACATAAGGGACTCATTTAGAACATAGAACGTAGAATAACAAGAGTTGGAAGGGACCTTGAAGATCTTATAATCCAACCTCTGCTCAAGCAGAAAAATGTCAAACTCAATTTCATTGAGGGCCACATCAGGGTTGTGTTTGACCTCAGGGGGCCAGGGTAGGTGTGGCCAGCTCAATGTCACTCATGTCAGGGGCGCCTGTGGTAGCCCGAGCACTCTGCCAGTGAAAACGGGCTTACAAGCTCCATTTTTGACAGTGACAGCCTCCTGCAACCCTCTACCAGCGAAAGCAGAGTTCATTTTCACTGGCAGAGGCACCATGGGCCGGTCCTTCACTGTTTGCAGGGTGGCCCCACAGGCCAGATCTAAACACCCCATGGGCTGCATCTGGCCCACAGGCCTTGAGTTTGATACCCCTGCCCTACACCATTTCAGACAATAGCTCTCCAGGCTCTTCTTAAAACCCTCCAGCACTGGAGCACCACGACTTCTGAAGGCGAGGCATTCATTTGAAATTTCATTCACTTGAAAATTCATTTGAAAGGAAAGGAGATACTAGAGTCTTACCTTCTGAAATACGAAATTGCTATTTTCGCATAGAAGAGTATCAATTTTAATTTTAAGTAGAAGAGGCTGACCCTGTATTTCATTGTGGAAAGAGTTTTGATAAGAATGCAATTAATTATTCATTTTCATTTTCATTTTATACAATCACTTATATACTGTGCATAACAAAAAACAAAGAGAAAAAGAATCCACCATAAANTTTTTAACATTTTCTAATGGTGGTGTGCCTCGTGATTTTTTTCATGAAAAAAGTGTGCCTTTGCACAAAAAAGGTTGAAAAACACTGCCTTAGTTAATAGATGGAAGAATCTGGGCAAGTTTGCAAACAGTTCTGAATAGAAAAGCAAAAATGCAGTGCTGTGGTGGCACAGTGGTTAGAATGCAGTATTGCAGGCTAACTCTGCCCGCAGCCAGAAGATTGATCCTAATGGTTCAAAGTTGAGTCTGCCTTGCATTCTTCCGAGGTCGGAGAAATGAGGACCCAGTGTTGGAGCCAGTGTGCTTACTCTGTAAACCGCTGAAAGAGAGTGCTGTAAAGTACTGCGAAATGATATATACGTCTAAGTGTTATTGCTATGTAAGAATATATAAAATATTTAAATATTAACTGAACTTAATGCACATGTATCTATAAAGTACTGAAGAAACTATAATCTTCAACTTAAAAGATAAAGATAAAAGATAAAATGGAAATGAAGCTACAAAAGCAAAAGTAATTTACAAACCTTTACTGCTCCCAGTTGTTCTTTTCTGAATTTTTCCAGAGGCTTGATAAGAGTTTCAGTCACACTTAGGGCCTTTCAAGGAAGAAGAAAATAAATACAAGTATACTTAGATTATTCCACAGTAGGAAGAAAACATTATACTGTGTTTTCCAAATGAAAATATCATGTTTAAAAAATAAATCCACATCAACTTCTATTAATAAACCTCCACTGACACAAGAAAAACAGTATACAGACTTCAAATAGTTTTGGCTCAGATATACATCCCTATGTTCTAGTAACTTTTTTTTGGCAATAATGCATTTATGATATATATCAAGTGCATCAGAACATATTTTGCTTAATTACTTATAATGAGGCACAACTGAATCTCTGGAATGACATTTGCTACATGTTCCAGATATGTCCCCAGTCTGCTGTTTTTTAGAAGACCCACAAAGATATGGCTTTTCATCCAAGTTTTTGTTTCAGACAGTTGCCATTTTGTATGTCTATCCTTTATGTTTTCTTAATTTATTGTAATTCTTTGTTTGATCATTGTGAAGCACCCAAAGTTATTAAGTTGAATGGCATATACATGTAATAAATTATGGTTGGTCACAGAGTCAGCCAGATGTTTATAGACTGGATTTGGCATTTTTATCCACTTTTCGAGTCCTTCCCAAGAACCTGGGATAGATATGTGGTGTTAAAAGTATTCCAATAGGATGTAAGATGTTCCAAATAAAGCTGCCTTTAGCAATTGAGTGATGGTAGATTCTATCAATACTGGTAGAAAGTATTCAAGTGGCATTCTAGATGTTTTGGGAGTGCAGCCAAAGCACCTATCACTATTGGTATTATCTTTGCTTTCTTTTGACACAATCACTCTTCTTCTATTGGTAAATGTTTGTAGTTTGTACCTTCTCTTCTATTCTGCTATGTCCAGGTACTGCAACATCCATTATCCAGGCCTTATTGCCTGACTTATTGACAATTATTAAGTTTGGGGGGATGATGATGATGATGATGATGATGATGATGATGATGATGATAAAGATTAGGCAAAAACTTTCATCTCTATGGCTAAATAAATATAGATAGCCTTACTCACACTTAGAGAGCCATGTGATAGATTTAATGAATGAAAGTAAACATTCACATTGTTGAAGTGGATTTTATTATTGTCTGGAGAATTCTGTAACACTTGGAAATAGATTTGGGGTTTCTGTTTTGAAGATGAACCTTGCCTCAGTTTTTTAAAATAACTGGTTATACTGTTGATTTCTTTCTGAATGTTTTTAGGAAGACTATTCTCACAATTCTACGCAGGTCTAAAAAGAAAAGTGTCTCTCAAGTTTAGCTCAAATCAGTGACCAAACAAAAATAGCCAAGATTTGGCAGAAGGGAAGGGTTACAACATAAAGATATAATTTGCCACTGCTTTTTCTGAGAATTTGCCCCCTTCCTCCAAAATTCCCTGGTAGTCTTTAGCCTGATCCTCCTTAATTTCTCTGAGAAATGTAAAATGCCAAGAGTAAGAAGCAAACATGGATTACTTTTGTTTAAATGTGTATGAGACAGCAATTACATTTTCCCAGTTGCATGGAATAATTACCACATGAAAACAGAGAGCAAAGAATTTCTCTATACATTTTATCAAGCAATTGACGATCTTACAAAAGTACATATTTGCATTGTAAGAGTTCAACTCAAACAAAATTTCACATTTCTTTCTTTGTTCTAAGATGGGTATAAAAATACTTTCCAAGCATTCGGGTGTAAATGTTTGCATAAGAGAGACGTCTTTGTCAGGAATCACATAACAAAAATTCATGAAATGAAACAGCAACTTTAGACTGACAGAAACTCCCACTGAATCACCTGTCATATTACTAAAACTTATTTTGAATGGTGCAGTGAAGTGCTAAAATATTTTCACTAGTGAGAAAATGCATAATGAACTTCTGATCTGTACTTTCTGTATATTCTCAAAGGAAAGGTTGATAGATCAGTCCAACATTCCAAGTTAGGTTATATTTGGAGGACACCAATTTGCAAGGATTATCTGCTTCAAAGTTTTTTCAAATGGTTTCATTGCTTGGGTAGGAAACTATAGAAACATGAGAAAGGACTAGCTATAGAATGATAGGAACAGTACTGTAATCTCAGACCTGAAGATTGGGGAAAGTGTGTAAAAACTACTACCAATACAGCTTACTGAGCCCTAAAGCAACCTACATGATCTGGGTTCAATGAATGCATAGACTCTGATGCTTTTTGGAGTTCTCCCATCCAAGTATTAACCAAACCCAATCCTTCTTGGTTTCTGAATGCAGACAAGCTTGGCTAAGTATTGTTATATGTTGAAATTTTTAGAGAAATTAGGTTAAATTAAAAGATTTTCTTCAAGAGATTCAAATGGATATATAAGAAACTTTTGGAGTTTAAACACTAATGAGAAATATGCAGAACTGACAGTTTACATACTGCTATATTTTATCAAATAGAACTCACCATTATTTCTCTTTGTTCTTCTAAATTTTTCAGAAAGTTAGAAAATTCATGAAGGGATGCATCTGTAACAGGAATAAATATCAGATACTATATGCAACAAATAAAATAGAAAAGATTAAAATTTGAGATTTCATATAGGTAGTCCTCCACTTACAAACGTACTAAAGCCTGGATTTTTTTTGTTATAATGACATTCATAAATCAAGGCAGCCAAGTGATCTGATTTTATGTCTTCTTTTCCAGTGGTGCAGTGGTGGGTTTCAAAAAAATTTGGAACCTACTCTGTGGGTGTGGCCTGCTTTGTGGGAGTTGTTTGCTGGCCATGTGACCGGGTAGG